CTACTCTCTCTCTCTCTCTCTCTCTCTCTCTCTCTCTCTCTCTCTCTCTCTCTCTCTTTCTCTCTCTCTCTCTGTCTCTCTCATTCTTTTTTTATTCTTTATTTTTTTTGCTATAAATGAAAATTTTTAAATATTCATGTTATATTTCGTGAAATTATATGTTGTATTAATATTATATATATTTATATTAATGTTAATAAATTAATTTTTTCAATATGTAAGCGACGTCGCGACCATTTCCGGAGTAATAATTTTCAAGATATATATCGTTGCACGAATCGAACTCTATGCTATCTTCGATCTCTGTATGTATACAGATGCGTTCAAAATACATGGCTATCTTTCTTTCTAGAAAGTTTCGCTCGAGCAAGCAGCGATGTCGCAATCTCAGTGAATGACCGAATAATCGCGAGCTTAAGCATATCCTGTTAAAGCGAAACGTCACTTGTTTTCCACATAGTAGCGACAAGCGCGATGACTACTGTTTCTGATCGCATGAGTAAGAGTGTATTCGATTGAGCATTAGCGAAAGCGAAATCTATGCGCCGGCTGGACCAGCGTGAAGGAGAAAGGTCGGGAGATGAAAGTGTTCGCATGGCCGATTGAGAGAGATGGAACCGGGGTCTTAGTAGTGCCAGGGATGGTAGGAACCTTTGATCGGGGGAGGGGGGGGGGGCCCTCCGGCGAACTTTCACTCGTCGTTACAGCCTCTGACATATATCTTGGATATACAGGTCGGCTCACGTTTAACGCACGCAAAAAACGCGAGGCGTTGGTGCAATCGCGGGAATGAGTAGAAAAAAACCGGATATAATGATGGGTCTTTGGTCTTCGAGGATGTGGACCGAATGAGAGAGGGAAAATATGCGTCATGATTCGTACGATCGCAGAAACGAAATTGGGCCTCCTCGTCAGTTGTCTACCGGGTGCGCGACGCTACCGGCGACGTCGGTCGTTATACGACGGATCCACGTGCCGACAGTGGTGGAGTGATTTAGAAGATCTAGCTATTTATTATTTTGTCTCGATCATAATTTTTTTTAGACCGTCACTTTGCTTCATCAGCTATCTAATTTGTATTTCGAGTGTATTGGTCATCGATAGATACACCTTCCGGGGGGTGTTAAAAACGTCGTTGTTTCTTTACTTTCTATGCAAATTTATTTTCATCATCGGATTTAATTCATCAAGACATCAATCACGAAATTGATAACACAATCGATATACACAATCATGTTTAAATAACAATTGATTTTTAATCTCTTAGACAGAAAAATATCGTAATATTATTGTACAAGTAACTAGTACATAAGTTAGATAGCAAATTATTAGTTTTAATGATGGCAGTCATAAAGATTTAATATAGGAAAACTAAAATTTATTTCGTTAAATTAAAAATATTGCATGTATTTGTTCTTTTGTAAAAAACTTAAATTATATGCAGCAAATATGAATATAGGAACATCTGTTTACAGCGCATGAAATGGAAAATGTCGTATTGCCACTTATAGTTTCAATAATTTCAAATCCGATTATCTTATTTGAGCAACTATTCCTCGCAATAATGTAACAACTGGCAATTTTTATTCGAGTGAAAAGTTTTAATGTCATCAATTTGTAGCTGCTTTTACGCAATGAAACGTTTCTTCTATTGTCAGTACGATGGCACAATTGTTCAACGATTGAGTTCTGCATAGGCAAACACAATGGAGGCGATGCCGTAATTAGCAGGCAGCCTTATAGGTCTTTATACAAGTGTCTTTATACGAGCGTTCGTAAAGTTATAAATATTTTTTGTTGCAACTTTTATTTTAATTGCTCTTTTTGGAGTCTCCTTGAACAAGTTATACGAGTAAGCAAAGCTATTTTTCACTTGCACTGTCGACCATAAGGCAATAAGGAAGAAAGGAGGAACGTTGAAAAGGAGCGGGAGAGAACCCGTCGTTCTGGCAACGAATTTCGGAGTTTTGCTGTTCCTATCAGTCTTCGATGGGAAGCGCGACAGTGCCCGCGGCTTTATTATATCGATAATCCGGTTCCACGTAAATGTCCGCAGTGCCGCAGTGACATACAGATCTATTCTTTCTCATACATGTCCTTCTCTTACATTTTTTTTACGCATTATTAAAAAGTTGATTACCTTCCTTCGTGTTTGTGTTGCATTTATTTTTTCTCTGTCATATTCAGAAAGACGTGTTGTTCTCTGATCGATAATTATCTATTTACCGCTAGTGATTAACTGTGGAATATATCGGAATAAATCGATTACCGATAGATAGCGAACATGATTTTACGTAATGGAAGATTATATGTGTAGAAGGCTAATGTCTAGAAATGAGTTAAACAAATAGAAATATGGATGTATTGATAGCTGATCGAAGTTGTAAATAGGATATAACTTTTTATTTTCTTGTTACATTTAAAACGCTGGTTAGATTTTTTAAATCTCGTATCAATATAATTAATATAAATTTTATATTTATAAAAAAAAATTTTACATTATGCAAGTTGCAATTAACATTGAAATTATTTATAATTATTTAGAATTCAATATTTTATTCTATAGAGGTATACTATATCGGTTTGCTAAGTTCACTTGCAGACAGATTTCTATGATTTCACGTAATTTATAACGTAATTTATAACAGTTTTGATTGGGAAAACTTTCAGATACATGATTCTGTGTATCGCACGTGCGATCGAATTATGACACCTTATATGAAGATTATACAATAGATTAGATTGGTTTCTACATAATAAGCATTTATGTGATAATGACCTACTAATCGAGATGAAAAGCAATTACTAGACAAAATTGCACAAATATTGTTCTTAATCTCACTTACTCGCTTATTCCGTTAATTCTCATTTATCGGATTCATTTTATTCAGGATATAGAGATGTACATGTTTCAGAAAATAATTGTTCAATCATTGTTGCAATTACATAAATCCGTTATAAAACTTTTTAATTAAACTGATCAATTTCCAGCTATAATCAAATGAAGACTTTATAGTTTCCAGATGCATCCTGGTTGTTATGTGTGTAGGCAAGCACAGATGATAAATAGCATCTGATAGTTTTACCATATGATTAGTCAGCGTGATTAATCATCGTTAATTCTATTACTCTTCAAATCTGATCTCTACATTTCACACTTGCTTCACGAAAGTTGATTGATGAATAGCTTATTTTAAAGCTGGAAAGAGTTTACCTAATGAGAACGAGGCAAACAACGACTCAACTTTCGGTCTCACTTATACAAATGGTTATTCTTTTCTTTTCAGAGCTGATTTTCTCCAACTGACATTTGGCTCGATGCCATGAAGAGAATCGTTAATCTGTTAAAAAACATTTTCTCTCTCGCAAATTGATGGAAATCTGTGATAAATTATTTAATTGGTTACTAAATATATTTTGCTTCATAGTATCCACTATTTTTTCACATTTTATAATCAATTTATATATACAAATTAACCGTTCATAAAAATCCTATCTAAAATCTGCCGATTTTTAAAGCTCACGAAGAATACATGTCGTCACCTCTTGTTATTGTCTTATAACAACGTTGGTAGACGATGTATTCCCATAAAGCTGTTCACTATCACGTGGCAACCCCAACTACATATGTTTTACGATGTCTCGTGGTTGTCACTATGATCGTAGCTGCGGCCACGTTTTTGCATATTAACAATTATAGGCCCAGTAAGTTGAAACAATTACTTTGTAAAAATTAAAATGCGCCGATGTATACAGATTTGCGTTTTCATATAAATCTTATAAATTATTATAATTTCTAAATTTTGTTCTAAAGTATTACTTTAAAATATATTTATTTATTAATTAGATAAAAAGAATTTTTGTAAAAAGAATTTTCATTAAATAATAAAGTGACAACATTAATTAAATACAAGTTAAGGATTTCTAATGCTAGAGTTCTATTGTGCGTTTATAATGACAGATATAATGGTAATAACGTGCAAAGCGCATTTTTGTTCTTTCTAATCTATGCAACATCCGATGTATATACCGTAATACGCGCATCATTAGCTTTTCTCCGCTATATGGCACTTTCTATATGGTTTTATACGGTTTGAACTTTCATCTCTACCGATTGTCGGTTTTTTTCACGGTTGAAGAGGGCAAAGAAAACTGCTTTCTTCGAATATAAGGATGTTTTTTTTCACTTTCTTCTCTTTACTCTTTTTATTCTTTTTTCCAGAACAAACATTCCTCTCCTGTGACAGACCATGTCATCACTTGGATTGGCCTATGATCTGTCGGGTGAAACTCACGTTAGAAGTCTTCCAATCGCTCAGCAAGTAAGTCAGAAAATCATTTAGTTATATTCGTTTTCTAAGGATCTAATTAATCCTATTTATGATATAACATACTGGAAAAACTTCATCACACGTCAAGAAAGACCAATCAAATATTACATGCTAATTATCAGGCTAACATTTCATTTCGATAATTTAACAAGTAATTAACAAGTAATCAACAAACGTCGGACCCCGATATTTTCACATAAATTTTCTATAGTTTTCCTCATATTTTTCATAATTTTTCAAAGATTTTACAAAAGAAGAAATTAATTACTTAAGTGGCAAGAATTTGCATCGTAAGTAGTATGTTTCAATCAGCTGTGTATAATATTTAGTATGTGTCATGTGTGGAAAAGAAAAAAAATCGGAGCAAGAATATTAAGAATTAGGCATGAATATAATGAAAGTTGACTGTTGCGAAATCTTACGCAACGTTATTTTCTATTTTGTGAGATGTAATTCCTGTACCGTAATTAAATTTCTATTATAATGGATCAAGGTTAGTAACATGAAACCACGATAGCTTGGTTATTTCGAGTTTTTAATATGGAAAATTCAATTTCCATTCATGCATTCGCATGAAAGAAAAAGATAAACTCGAAAGGGAAAGTATCATCACTTATCTAATGAAAAAAAATCCTTAGATCGCAATCGCCTCACGCAAGGGAGCTATGCATTTCTCTTCATATGCGCGTCACGATATGATTACGGAGTTCGTTTTTGCGATTGCAACATTGTAGAAACATTTTCTGCTGTTACGTTATGACATGCAACGGTTACCGCAGCATAATGCCGTACCGATGGTTTCGGGCTCGTCGGTGTATAACTATTACGCAATTCTTAAGCGTTAACCGATGTAACGCGGAAGACTCTCGCGATCAGTCGCGGTTGTCTTGTTGAAACTGACATGCAAAATGAATATCGCGTTGAGCAAAGAAGATATACGAGTTCTCTGCCGAGGAGACTGAATTGTCATACTGACTGTGATATTTTACAGTTACATAATAGAAAAAAGTAGGATAAATGATTCGATTTGTTGTTAAATATAATATAAAGTTAATTCTTTTTTCATTTTTCAAATCGTGCAAATAATTTATTTATACAATTATTTTTTTAATTAACATATATTATTTTTCATTAAATTGCAATTATTTTCATCTATTTTAAAATATTTTTATAAGATTTGTAAAATAATAATAAATTTGTTAGAAAATTATATTAGAAAGTTATATTATAACTTTTATTTCATCGATCTTCCGGTAAAAGACGATTAACGATTTAATCTATTTAATCTGTTGCATAAGTATATGTATGTGGTCTAATGTTAGAAATTATGATTTAACAATGTTATAGATCATGCGGTGATTGTCCATTAAATCAGACGGCTTGCTTGGCCAATCATTGTGTTTCCGCGGATGGACAGAGACGCGGTATACTTACGGCCAATCGTCAAATGCCAGGACCAAGTATTCAGGTATGACCTCGATGTTCAACCGATCAATAGTCTGGATGCATCACACTTATCGCTGGGAATTCAATAAAGTTCATTGCAAGAGTGTAATTTGATTACAATATCGCTTGCTATCTTTTTCATTTAATTGAAGAATATTCTACAATTCATAACATTTTCTTCGCAAATAATTAATAGACAATTGAAAATACTGATACAAAGTTACATTTAGCATTTTTAGAACGCGCATGTTTGATGAGTATTTTCTGCGTGTCGCTTTGCCATTTTATGACCTGAGATAAAAAAATACTCATAGACAGATTTAATTCGCTAAAAGTAAATATTATCCATTTAATTGGATGACAAATCAAATTATTAAATTAAATCTGTAATAAATTATTAACTTCACAAATAATCGTCTTTGTGAACTTTGAATTTTATTTCGAAAATCGAGATATAATTTATTGATCGATAGTTTATAACATACGAAAATGCCTTATGCTATTATTCCATTGTTACTATTTCAGAGGGACGTTGCATTAAATTTATGTAAAGTTGAGTGTAATCTGTTTCAAATGGTTTCGCCACATCAACGCTTTTATTTGCAATCGATACTCTCAATAGTTGAACGAAAGTTGAGATTCTCGTATTAAAATGTCACATGATCGTTGAAACACGTGCGTAATGCACGCCCTTGGTAATTAATTACGACTATTGAATATGCAGGAATAATCTCGCGCACATGTCTCTTTAATTGAGTGAACATTTTAAAATGAAGCAAAGTCTGTTAGATCTCTTTAATTGATCTTTCTCGGCCGCGAGCATTTTTTTCAAAGCTTTAGAAATGATGATTGAAGTTAAATATATTTTTTTCTCTTTGCTATTTTTTTCTCTTTTTTCTCTTTGAATCAAATAGAGAATAGGGTTATTTATTTTTAGTAGTCTTTATTTAATCTTTTGTGGCATTTCTTTTATATTAATACATTTTAAAAATTTCTGTTTCATGCTACTTACTTTGTTAGAATTCAATATTTGAAATTGAAAATATTAAGAGGAAGAAATAAATGACTTCAGATGCTATTTAAAATAATGTTGAACATTGTTCGACATTTTAATTTGTATACATTCAAGAACACATAAAATGGAAATTAAATAAAAATTATTTAGTATCATTAAATATTTCCATAGTTTTCTTGTATTTATATTTATAATTTTATGATCTAAAGTGAACTATAATCTAAAGTAAAAGAAAGGAATATATTTTTTAAAGACAGTTAAAATATTATTTTAATGGAAATAAATTGAAATTAGAATTATATTTGTCTTATTTGTAAGCACGATTTGACTTCTCAGAAAATTTTCGATGATTGACGATAGTGAAATTGACTAATTGCGAACTTTCAGACATGTTTACGCTTTTACAGGTTTGTGAAAACGATATTCTAGTGGTGGATGTGATAAATCGTCTTCCTGGTAAAGCAGCTGCGGTGCATTGGCGTGGGCAAACACAAGTGGAAATGCCATACATGGATGGCACACCGTTGGTCACACAATGTCCGATACCGAGTTATACCACTTTCCAATACAAATTCCGTGCTTCCGTACCCGGTACTCATCTCTGGCATGCACATGCAGGTTAGTAATTTGGTATTTATTTTAAATATTTTCTCGATCAGAGGCAAAAATTATTTATAAAGTTATTTATAAAATTTATGTTCATAAATATTACTATCGAAGTTATTAATTAACACATTTATTATATATTCAAAAGTTAAAATTTACCGATAAAATTTTTATCTTTAAATTAATTTATATTTAAATTTGATCACATGATGGATTTAATAATTTAAGATTTTGACATAACTTCTTATTTGATTCAATTTAATTATTAGTTACAACTTTTTAATATAACAAATATAATAATAAAGATATAATAAAAATATAAATATAATAATCAGTATAGAAATTGACTGACCCATTTTTTTGAAATAAACTTTTCAGGGGCTGATGTCACGAATGGTATTATCGGATCGCTGATCGTGAGACAGGCAGACCTTCGAGAACCCCATCGCGCCCTTTACGACATTGACGATCCTAATCACATGGTCCTAGTGACCCAGTGGCAACATTCGCCGGAAGTATCGCTTAACCAAGGTCACTCGAAACCGGCAATTCTCTTGATTAATGGGAAAGGCCGTCAGCCGGGTGGACCCCCGATTCCCCTAAGTACATTCACGGTCGTTCCAGGACGACGTCACAGATTCCGTGTGGCGAATGCCGGAGGCGCCAGTGCATGCCCGGTGACGCTTTTCATCGATGGCCACTCGCTTTTCTTGATTGCGCTTGATGGTCATCCTACAAAACCACGACAGATCACTTCGATCACTCTGGCCAAAGGTTGAAGAATTTCTCCCCGTAATCAAATCTCTGCGCACGCAATTAACACGGTGCAGGCAAAATGTCGATTTTACATTTAACAATCTTCCGATATTCGAAGGAATCGAGCACGTCTAATCGAAACACTTTCGTTTTATGTACTCCACTTTGTTTTCGATAAAAAGTTGATTGTACAAAGCCCCTGTAAATAATAGACACGAGGGAGGAAAACGTTTTGCGTTGTCATGCAAGTTTCCGATTTTTTAATTTTATATTTAAGTACCACTTGATGACATTTACTTTTTTAAACGCTTTCACTTTTGAATGTGTTGGATCTTAAGTAGCATCCTCCGTAACTTTTACCCTTAGCAAGAAAGTTAGCATTCAATACCGCATATGTTAGCTCGATGTCTCTTTTAATCCATCTCCATCTTATTCTATATAGGCAAAGTGAGAGACTTCGTTTTTCGATTTTTCACGATTTTCATCGAACACACCAGGACTGACGAGTAATTTTCAATATTCTGTAAAGGTGAAAGGGCGGACTTTGTCCTCAAAGCGAGTAAACGCATCGGTTCCTATTGGATGACTGTGCATACGGCGAAAGAATGCGGAACGAGCGTAATAAGTGGCGCGGCGATGCTCAATTATAAAGGCAATTCGGAAAATCCTGGAGCAACAGCGGACGCTATCGATCAATACGATATCGACGAGACAGGAACGGACCGATTGGCCCTGACGACGAATCCCGTCGAGAAATGCGGCGACCGAGAGAATTTGTGCGTCATGGATATTCAAAATATGCGTAAAATGTCACAAATCCTAACTAAGCCCAAGATGGACGTGACATTATATCTGCCAATTAGCTACAAGATGCAAGCAACGGAATTAATAGGTGTGTAATAACATGAAAAAGTAACGAGCCTGAGTGAAAGTGCGAATTAGATGCAACCGGGTCATAATTGCACGGGGCATTAATTAATGCGGACAAGCTCAATCAATAGATAAAAATTCAGCCGACAAGTTTCACCGCTATTTTTTATTCGCACATTAGGCTCAAATCCGGATTATTAAAAGTTTGCTACCGCGAATGCTTCGTACGCGTAATGTCTCTTGCTTTCAGGAAGGCGCGCTTTCACCGCTATTACTTTTCTTGCAGTCACAAAACTTCTTTCCGACTGTTAATTTTTTTATTAAGAGTTTATCATTCCGATTTTAAAACTTTTAACGTAGAAGCATGATTATAAAATTATTACAAGCTGAAGAGATATTAATTATTACGAACATAAAACTGTCGCTCTTGAATGAAATGGGAATTTTTTATTGTTACTTCTTACTGTTACTTACTGTTACTTTTGTTGTAATTTCTCAAAATATCAATTGTAGAAAAGAGAACAGTCATATATATTGATTTCTTGTCACACTTTAGCCATGAAAAATTTCTAAATTTAGTTCGAAATATCTAACTACTAATGAGGACAATGATTTATATTTTCTTTCTCTCTCTGATTTATATTTTCTTATCTCTTTTTATATATGGAGAAGAAATCTCGCGATGCATAGCTAGAGAATGGCGCGCAATTAAATTCATATTAAGAGAATCATGTGCAGCTAGTTTTGAGTCGAGAGAGCAACGCGCAATTAGAATCGATTATCTAATCGCGAAAATCTTTTCTCTTCTGTCCAGGTAACGGCGGGGCGGAGACGCGAGTGTTGAATGTGGACAACGCCACTTTCACGTTTCCGTCATCGCCTTTATTGACCCAGGGTGGGGACGTGTCCCCAGGGATGCTGTGCACCAACAGCGACGATAACGAGACCGATTTCAATGAAAGCAACGAGACCGTGTCACGACGCCGGTGCCGTCCGGTCGGCGACGGCGGCGCGGCTGACATATGCGAATGTGTACACGTGCGTCACGTGCCGCTTGGAGCGACCGTCGAGATTATTCTCCTGGATCAGGGTAATTAGTCTCATCCGAGCGTGATCAAAACGCAAAATGCGTCCTGCAATGTGACGCGAGTGTCTCGTGTCCATTCTGATCGAGTTTTTCATCTCAATTTTTCCATTCAATCTTCCATTTCTTCGCTTTGTCATCCGTAATCCAACATACATATTTTTGTTTTATTAAGTCCAAGAAAAGAATAAACAACTATAGACTTTTTAATTCCCTAATTTTATGAAATACAAAAAATTTTTTTATCTTTCTTTCTCGACATAATTTTTTTTAAATATATATCTTGATAATAACATATATTTCGAAATATAATTGAATGATATATTAATATTCTAAAGTCAAACAATGGTATAATTTTGCAAATTCAAGCCATTACAAAAAAATAGTACGTTGTGAACATTTATTGTTACTTTTTTATTAAATTAATTATTTCCAGTATCTAATATTTCAGTAAATATTTTAGAAATAAGAAAGCAATTTTTAAATCATTGATATTTAAGTCAAGATATATTCATTAAATTTTAATTAAGAATTTTAAAGCAAATAATATGGAATATGACAAGATTGCTACACGAATTCATTATATTTTTGCACATGAGATTATTTCTTTATACGTCAACTGTATAAAGGAATAATCTAGTGTGTAAGATTATACAGCGTAGTTCATTAGCTTAATTATTACATAATTCTTGATGCAAGTACGTGCTTGGGGATAATCTTACAGTGAGTAAAGTAGCACACGCAAGAACATTAGCGCATAATAGAATTTACATTTGACCCCAATGTCCATATTTCGTATCTACTGTGAAAACTAAAGTTATTGATCGAAAGTTGTTCTACCATCATAAATCATTTCTAGAAGAAGGTGTATATTATTTCTCCTCAAAAACAATATTCGACGCGTCATTGCGATTTCTTTTAATACGATTGCGACAGCTAAGAATGGTACTGCGACTTCCGCTAACAGCGCGCGTGGAACGATTGATTTCCTTTATAAAGCTTCGCAATTATACGACTAATTAGTAGCATCGATCATCAATTTGTGATATTTCTTGTTATATTATATTCTCATTGATCATTTGCTTAACGACAATTTTAAATACAATTTTTCTGTTCATTTTTTATTGAACATGTTAACTTGTTGGAAATGATTTTAATAATTCAGTGAACATTTAATATTGTAATTTATTATAACTTAATATTTAATTTAATATCATGGAATAACTTTCTAAGCTGTGAATAGTGGTCACCCGGTAATAATTTTTTGCTGCGAGAGATTCTATTCGGGGTTATCCATCATTGTTTTGCCACAGGTGGTTTGGACGATCTAGTTTACCACCTACACGGCTACAATTTTTATGTGGTGGGTGCCAGGCAATTTGGACGAAGTATGTCGCTGCAAGAAGTGAAAAAACTAGACGAGAGGCAACAGCTTTTTGCGCGAAATCTCGATTGCGCACCGGTCAAAGATACTATCATCGTGCCTAAATTCGGTGCCGTAGCGCTGCGATTTAAAGCCGACAATCCAGGTAAACCTTTTCCGCTAATCGAACTGACATAAATATTTAATATACTGGTCTCTAATCTAACCAGTTCAGTCGTTAATTATTTGATAGCTTTCTTAAGCAAATTGGGGGCATAACTATTATTAGAAACTACTATACTTAGAACTACTGTAAGATATTAACAATTTATAAATTGTAAGCAATAATAATACATAAAAAATTTCTCGTGAGCCCAATTTCAGAATGTTTAGCTTTTTAATTTTAAATATAATAGTTTAGTTTTAAAGATATTTGAAAAAAATTTTTGATATCAAGGATTGAAATTGATTCGAATTTGTTTGTTTTAGCTCTAAGGATTAATTAGAAATATGACATGTATTTTTGTAATAGCGACATTTGTGCATTAACTTTATGGAATTTTATTTTGTAGGTTATTGGATACTTCGGGATGAACACGCAACCGATTGGACTCGCGGTTTAGACGTTATTTTGCAAGTCGGGGAACCTGGTGACATGGTGACTGCGCCGCAGGACTTTCCTAAATGCGGCTCCTTTGTTGGACCCGATTACTTTCTCATATAGACTGTTATCATTTAAATATTAAACATGTATATAATTGTATATAACAATAGCGCTTCGGACACAACTCTAATCGCTCTTAGATAAATTTTACGATTTGTTACAAATAAATATTCATTTACATTTGATAATCACGTAGAAACTTTCCATTCTCTTTTTTCGAAAATCTCCATCTCACCATAATTATTTTCTCGGTAAAATATTAATTAAATGCCAATCTCATCAAAACTTCTTCATTTCCAAGAACTTCAAAGAACTTAATATTAACTTTAAAGTTAAATTTTAATACAACGATAAATAAATTGTTTTCCACGACCTATAGTTTAAAGTTTGATACAATTTCGTAACTTTCAACTTTTAAGCAACAATTGTATCACTCGTGTAACAACCTTCTTGAGAACAATCGGAATTACTGTATGACTTCTGTTAAGTATACCGTTTATGCTAACGTTTCTGTTGCTAAAATCGTTTATTCCTCGACGAACAAACGACGAGCATTTCCGCGTTCATCTCGGCGTGCACGTCAGGTATTTCCGCGCATTTTGATGTTAATGACTGGATGTAACCGCCGTAACCGCGATTCGTTTCTCCGCGGTGACGGATAATTCCGAAAAGTCAGACTGACGCATAGCCTCGTCGGTGATGTCCTGCCTAAGCGCGTTGCATTCGCAAATAGGGACCTTGCTCTCCGTGCCTCACGAAGTCCTATTTCTACGACATACAGTTTTTCGTGAATATGCGAAAATTGCGGTTGGACCGGATTTCATCCACACGCTGCCATCTTTTCTAATTCTGACAGCCGCAATACTCATCCTTTGGAGGAACCCTCCATCCTCCACGCGACTTATGGACCTCGTAGGCGTAACATTCATTTATAGAGGATTTCAGGTATAAAAATCTTTGTAATTTCCCATATTAGCTAATACATTTCCGTATATATACGTGAGTTTTTCAAGGTGTCAGTCAGCTGGCTTGCGGTTAACGCGCTTTTATGGCTATGGCTGATTCTCCAAAGGATACTCTACTGCAGCGTCTGGTGTTACTGGAGTTACGTGAGTGGACTTGTTATATTCTTATATATTCTTATTATATTCTTTTCATAACTAACAAAGATCGTTTTCGTAATGTTTGAATTGTCCACTTTTATATAAGAGAAAAGCTTTATGTAAGCACTTGTTTGTAAAAGAAATAAGGTTTTCTGAAGCTTTCTTCAAAAAAGAAAATATTATAATTTTTATTAAATAAAATTTTAATTTCTTTAAATAACAATTAAACAAAGACAACTTTAGAAATTTATTTATAATTTACTTTTTTGACTTTTTAAAAATCTCTTGTAAAAGACTATATAAAGATAATATTTAGAAAAATTATTTTATAATCGATATAGGAATCTGAATACCGAGATATTTCATATCCCTGGTGGCAACGTGTCTGGTCCTCGTATTATCCTGAACCTATACAGCCGCCAGTAATGTCGGCTGGTTTTATTAGTTGGATTATCGCAATGTCCATTGCAATAATGATCCTGGGATGTGCAAACTCTACAGATCGCGTGGAAATTTTCGTTAAAGAAACTTTAACTAAATTTCGAAATGTACTTGCAATAATAAAGTCCTATGCAGAAGAGTCACAAGATGAGTTAGTATTGCAATTCAATCACTTATTTCTTTAGCGTTAGTATATTGGTTTGTTAGAAAGAAAAAAAATGAAACAAAATAAATATGATTATATATGTATACAGAAGGAATAATTTTGCTGAAAAAAATTGCTGAATAAAATTATTTTCAGATCTTATTAAATTCTTAGATACTTTAACAAAACTGTTTTTTTTTTCATATAACAATGACAATTTGTAAAAATTAATAAAACATTCGTTGAGTAAAATTTTTGTTCTTAGGGAGCAACAAATGTCTGTAACTACTGAGACAAACGTGGCAATGGACGATGGCGAAATCAGCTTAGTTTGTGATGACGGTCGTTCAGAAACATCGAATGACATCAACAACGCGGGACGCGGGGATATACATCCGATTTCTTATGGAACGAATTGGATGCCGCAACCAAATTTCTCCGCGTTGAAAGAAGCACAACGAAAAATTTCGATGAAATCTTTTCATACGGTGATGGGCGCAAACGACGCTCAGGTAACAAAACATAAAAAAAAAAGAGGAAAAAGAAAATTATTTCTCTTTTACTCTCTGTTAAGTTAATATTAGAGATTTCTCGTTTTATGTTCTTTAAATTAATTTTTCTGACAACAATAATGACGTAAAAATTGACATAGACGGAATGATCATTTTTCTTCATTTTTCTGTTTTTTAAATTATCTTCGAGCTTTTATTTTTCAAGAATTTTGTTAAAATTCTACAAAAAATTGTGTGCTGATGTAATATGATTATAACACACATTGTGGATCTCTCATTCTTCTTTTAGGATCCTGACAAATTTGTAGCAAAGCAATTGCGACATCGACGCGGCTGTCATACTGTGATACCAAGTAATTCCAGTGAGCAATTAAGCGAATGTTAAAAGAACTTGTCAATGTTCATTGAACAGTCATCATTGAAGAAGCCATCGGAGAAATATTCATGGGAATACTTCTTGTATAACTTCTTGAAAGTAGCGCATCAATTCTTTGCAGATGATGTTTGGTTTAAATAAAAGCCAAGAGAATTTATGTATACTAATAAGATTTTTAGTTCTAACATCTGTGCGAAAGGAATTTATAAAATTTTTTACGAAAATATTTTATACATGTAATATTGAATAAAATCAAGATTTTATTTTTGAGATTGAATGATAGACGCAAGACCATCAAGAAGCGCAATGGTTACGTAAAAATAATGTGCGTAACGTTATGTAAGATCACATTATTAATAATATTAATAGAATATGTATATATATATATATGTAAAACTTTATAAATAAATATATAAATTTTTAACATTGTTGATATAAATTTCTTTACGTGACAGATATTTCAAATTTATAATAAATTATAATATATGTGTGTGTGTGTGTGTGTGTGTGTGTGTGTGTGTGTGTGTGTGTGTGTGTGTGTGTGCATATATATATAAATGCACGAAACCTCAATTAAATTTTAGTTCTGTTTTTGTCCCAAGATAAATCTATCGATATCCTATTAATCTACGATATAAACATTTTTATTTTATTACAAACGTTGAAGTTTTTAATAAAAAAAATATTATTACATATATTCATATATATTATTATATATTCATTGTCATATCTATTTTAAATCAATAACAAACGCTGCATGCGCTTTCTTTTTTATCATCAATTTGAAATATCAAAATTTTGTATGCAATTTTATTTTTATTAATATTTATTAAAGTAAATATCAAAATTTTCATAATTCATACAATGCAAATTATATCTAATTATATGATAAATAAATTGGTAATGTAATTACATTTGTTAGTATGTTGGAAAGATTGCACAAAATTACAAGTTTAAAAGTCGACAATATTTCTAATTATCGAATTAATTTCATTGAAAGTAATAAAATGTGGAAAACATTGGAAGAAGAAGAGCTGTGAAGAAAAGTGATATGAATACTACAAAAGAAAACGTTAAACGACAAACGATTCTCTCGTTAGTATCGTAAAGAGAGAATCGTTTGCCTCTATAAAGCACGGTGTTATTCCGCAAACTACTCTTGTCAGTCCCTTTGATTATTTTTCGAGTAAAAGGTCCTGCCGTCTCTGCTAGACCCCAGGACTCCATCATTTTGCTTTGTCGGCTAGAGGGGACGCACAGAAATGCGCATGCGTCCGTAAGAGGGTAACATTCACCATCTTGAACCGGAGCATTATTCTGTAACTACAACCCTTGTGGGGTAGGTCGTAGATATTTGTGACCAACGTGACGACGTATACATCAAGTAAACCCCGTTCACTTCAAAAGTACGCCTTTTCAAACGTCATTCTTGACAAGGGAAATTGCGTGACTCATCCAGAAATCGATTCCGCTTGGGAAAGTCTCCCCGGGAAGGATTCAGAAAAAGGATTTTGTTCCTCCGAAGAGGAGTCGGGCGTGAACACGGTCCTACACGTCTGCTTCCTTGTACGATGTGATTACACGCAATATCAGATTTTACTAACACGAGATACGGAAAATTGACGGTCACGGCTGCTTTATCGGAATTCTCTACGCATCTTTTGGTAAGAAAATTTTAATAGAGTTTAATAAAATTAAAATATTAAAGTTGAGTTTCAGTTTAGTATTTCCGCTTTGATGTTTCTGCGAAACATCAAAGCGGAAATACTAAAATATTTGTGTTCATTAATTGCTCTTTTACATGCTTTTAATCTTTATATAAACTTAAAATAAATATTGCAATTTGATAATAGATTAAGAAATTTTCTTATCTAATAGTCAAAAAACGCCGTTAAATGTAATTCATACAATGCAAATTATATCTAATTATATGATAAATAAATTGGTAATGTAATTACATTTGTTAGTATATTGAAAAGATTGCACAAAATTACAAGTTTAAGAATCGACAATATTTCTACTGCGTTGTAATGATAAATCTAATTCAATTATCTGATAATCGATAAAAGGGATAATAATCAAGATTATATTCGTACGCGACCTACGCGATTCACTTAACGATTATATATTTCTCTTTACGATTATAAATTTCTCACGCAGTCAAGCACATGATGTAGCAGCTGCATCGTTATCCCATGTAAGATCCGGTTAATTATGGCAACAATGAACGTAATACGACGTAAACTTTGCGCGGCAAATATATAAATCGTAATTTTTTAAATATTTTAGATGTATTTATAACCAAGAGACTATAATTGCATAATATATATTTGTTAACATTTACTAGCCTGCAATGCTATTTGTATGTTGTACGATTATTTTTGATTGAAAAATGTCGCACGATATCGAATTTATTCCTATAGCATTACAAAAACATTGAAAATAGGTTAAATGTAAAAAAATATCGAGCAGTTAAGCAATGCGTTTATTTTGTTAGATAATACTGAGCACAATTCCGTTAGTATTTATTATAAAAATAAAAGTTATTGAAAAAAAAATTAATATAATTTTGATATGTTCTTTTTAGTGAAACATTCATAATATTAGTATTCCTTCTTTTTTATCGTTATATTATTTATCGTTATATTACATTTATATTGTCAATTTACATATCGTGCTAAAAAGTTTATCTTGCGCGTTATCAAATTTTCTCATCGGTTTTCGTTTTCAGCATGCGCGCTTTTATTTTCTACGTTCCCACAGAGTAATTTAAAGTATTCCCGATTGATCCTAGTACAATCATGTTCTGACGTAATCGCAATTCAATTGGGAATCAGCGACTTCGGTGTTGCGCCGCGTCCGAATTTTACGATGAGGTTCATGGTCCACGTGTGTACGTAGACGCGATGTAAACTTGATATTGATTTTGCGTCCAGCATCCGCGCGGTCGAATGGCGTGCGCGCGCGCATATAAACGCAAATTCACATGCACATGCACGTCGTACACACGCATACACATACACGTCAACACGTGTATACTTTATTTGGCACGTGTACCCTCTTCGTCGGCGATTCTGAATTGGCCGGACTACACGGAGAAAGAAATAGGGTGGCAGAGAGATCTTTGAAGAAGGGGAGCTTGAATGAAAAATGAGCGCGATTTTTGTGTACATTTTTATGTAGCAACGACATATGCGCGCAATGGTTGTTCTGAAAACCGGTTGTGCACCGGTCATCGTGGATCCAAACAAAATTTTGCACAATGTATGAGAGATATTCGGAGTCTGACTTAAACGAACTTGATTACATAATTAAATTAGCTTCTTTTAGACTTATTTCATCCACGACATAGTACACGAACAAGAAAGAAAAATTTGATTATTTTAATTTAGCTGTTAATGCATTGTTGATCTTGTAATTCTAAAATATATTTAGTTTTGCAGAAAAAGTTTGTTTTTAAATTTAACTTTTACGAAAGTTTAATTCTCAGAGATTACGGAAAAAATTATGTAAGATCTGTAAGATGAAAATTAAAGTTGAAGCTGAATATTAGATGATAATTAACCTTCTCATTGCAAAGAAAATTCGATTTTTGAAATTGTTTGAAAAAATAGATAAAATATAATAAATATTAAAATATAAATAAAATTGCAAAAAGAATTTTAATTTATTTTTCTAACAAGTCTGACATTCGGTTTTATTTTTTTTTCCTATAGAAAAATATTGTTTTATATGTGTAAAATGTGTATAATCTCAGAAAAGAATATCAAGATCGATATGACTTCAATAATTTTGATATTTAATAAAAAGTAGATACTTTGTTAGATTCGCACAATTTCATAATAAAATCTTGTAAATTTATAAATTGTTTTAAATAATTTTATGTAATTATAGCATACAATATGTGTACAATATGCGTATAAGAAATACGATAGTGTTTGCCGCCAAATATACATGCCGGCGCACGAATTGTCTCTATGTACTTTGTGTACTCTGTGTACTCTGTATACTTGTACACCAATAATTCAGTTGTATTTTAGATTATATATGTATTTTAGATTTAAGAAACGACTGAATCAATCAAGTTCTTAATCACTAGCTTGAGTCCGAATTATATTAGAAAATTATTTTTATTTTTTGTAAATTAGAAAATTTCTGTTAAAAGCACATTCTTATCATTTTTTAGTAAAGAATATGCGGTTATTTTTGTCTAAATAGCATTTTGCATTTTAAAAATTTCGCAATTAAAAAAACATTTTGATTGGATCTAGCATTTTTGATATAATCTTGATTACATTTGGATGTAATTAAATTATTGTTTAAAAAATATTCTTGTTAAATAAAACTGATTAATGGAAATTGATAATAAGCTTTCTAATTTGTAACAATTATATGTATATAATATGTTATTCACAAAACTCATGAAATATTTCAACAATTATATGTATATAATATGTTATTCACAAAATTCATGAAATATTTCATGAAATACTTAATATTTAAAAAAAATTATCTTCTCATAATAAAAGTAAAAAAGGACTTCAAGTACATGCGCTAGCATTGTTTCAAAAACTAACACTAAAATTTTTCAAATTCTATCAAGTTATAGTAAGACATCGCGTGAATCTCTTCTAACGGAATTGTGCCTTAACTGCGTTCTAAGACAGGACAATTTCATAATAATCGATCGCATGAAGGCCGCATGAATTTGCGTTTTATCCTTCTAATTACATTCAAGGACTGGCTTATAATTTCCTTCTGTAGATATTTAGTGTCAACTTTCATCATGTTTCAGGCTCCATGGCGGAGAAAATGTATTACTGGGGTGAGGAGAAGGATCAAGTTGATCCCGACGATCAAACCTTCATACAATTCAAGGCCAAATCAGTGGCGACGGAGAGGAGACGCGAACCATCTCGTACTGTGCCGAAGATGACGGTGTCTTCACCGCAGGGTAAAATGACTGAGATCGGTAACAGAGAGGAGGATGCCGAACGCGGCGGTTGGGACAATAAACTCGATTTCCTATTTTCTTGCATAAGCGTTTCCGTTGGACTGGGAAATGTCTGGCGATTTCCTTATCTCTGCTATAAAAATGGTGGTGGTAAGCTAATAACTAATACTAAATTTATACATAAACAATTTAAGCTGGC